ATTGGAAATCCTATACAGGGTCGCTATGAATCGGAACCTGCTCTACAGCACACACCCACTACTACGGCCACCTTACTTTATCTAAATTAGAAAACTGATATCCCCAAGGTTAAATGACTTTACCTAGATCAATGCTTCTCAGGCCAGGTTGCATTTAGAACCATGTGGAAAGCTTTTTAAAACTCTCCCACTTGGTCCCAACCCAGACCATGAGGTCAGAACCTATGGGGCTGGGGTTCACTGAGTTTTTAAAAGTGAGTCCAAAATGTGCCCTGGATGGAAAGCACCTGACCAGCCCATGTAACTTATCAAGAGCAGAAGTAGGAATAGAAACCTGGTCCCCTGTCCCTGAACCCAGAGCTGACTCTGCCATATCAGGCTGATGCCCAACAGCTGGGAGTCTGCAGCAGCGAGAGAAGAGTCCGTGATGCATGCTGGGTTTAAGCATCAGGAGTTCCCAGATAGCGTGTGCAGGAGTCTCACTGCTCGGGTAGGAGGTAGGAGTCATCTGTCTAGTGACTCAGCTTAATGCAGAGCAAGTCCTAGTTTGCTGGTATTTCTTGCCCGACAACCACCCACCCCTTGCCTCATATCACCATCACTATTCTCAGCACTTGTTTAGAAAAGCAATGTAGCAAAATGCTCCTTTCATTAAGAAGTCATTGTGAATTCAAAAGTAACCCCAAACAAAAGAAGGCAGAGGTTTCTGTGGTAAACTTTAAAACAGGTTTGGAAAATACTGTGAAGAAATTCACTGGGGTGAAGAAATTCTCAGTCTGAGGTATTTACTAAGAAGTATGTGAGTGCCCCCTAGTAATTTTTAAAACCCTGTTTTCAGTTTTAGAATAATCTAAAAGAAAAAGCTTTATGTCTTGCTTAGATAATCTTACATCCAAAAATTCCAGTGCCCATATTTGCATTTGGCTTCATCGTCTTGTCTTATTGGTGCTACACAGTAAGACTGATTGACACAGCTGGTGAAAAAAGGCCTCGGGCAATAGAATATGTAAATGAGGCATCAGTACAGTTGTTGTTGTCAAGTGCCATGGAGTCTGTTCCCACCCATAGTGATCCTGTGTAGGGTTTCTGAGGCACGGTTGGTGAGCTTGAACTGCTGACTTTGCAGTTCAAACTCACTTTGCAATCCAGCTCATTAACCCGCAGCGCCGCAACAGGAGTCCCATTAGTACAGAGTAAGGGCCAAATGACGTCACAGGCAGTCAAGACAGTGGTTCAAAGAGAGAAAAACGGTGGAAGGACTGAGTCAGCACTGGGCAAACTGCAGAACAGGCACGACAAGCTCTAAAGAATCCTTGAATCCATTTCAGCAACACAACACAATCTTCCCTAAGTTTAAGAATCCTTGCAATAAAAAAGGGCTAATATGTAATTATGAATTAAGAATCCACGGAAAGGGCTAGGCAAGGGTTAAACATGAACTGAAAAGCGGAAGCCTGGTGGATCCAAGGGTGGCAAATAGAAACAAAACAAAACTTTAGGGGATAAAACCAGGAGAGACTACATATATATAGCACAGAAAATCTAAAATGTGCTGCTGTAAGTTTGTTGTTGTTAGGTGCCATTGATGCTGCCACTTGGCCAATCCATCTTGTTGGGGGTCTTCCTCTTTTTCTCTGTCCCTCCACCTTACCAAACATGATATCCTTCTCC